CCAAATGTCATTCTTAGAAATACATTCAGTTCTTTCAAGGCCTTTTGAGTAACTTTGAATAAATTCTTAGATCCACTTGCAGAAATTCATTTTTATTTGATTGAAATAAAGACCTAACTATAGAATTCCTCATTCCACCCGTTTTATACAAGTCCCTAAAGTGGATAGAGTAGTACTGACACCAGTGAAGTCCGCATCATCAAGGAATTTTCTTATTTATGGTTGTGATTGAAATAACAACTATAAATGTGAACCTAGATTTATACATTTCAGGCATATCAACTTGTTTTGATGTTTTGTTGCGTAACAACAAGAAATGTTACCCTGCTTTTATTCTTACAGCTCCAAAAAAGTAATCTAGATCTAAAAAATGAGTTTTGACATCTGACAATAAAAACTCATAATCCCGCCCATCAGTCCAAACTGAATATGTTAATCCATCAAGTGTCAAGAAATTCGTTAGTGCAACTTGTGGGGGCGGAAAGATATATCTCTTGGAATATGAACGAGGCGCAGTGTAGGACTATGACAGGGCATGTACGTCTTCTCTGCAGATTTCTGTTTCTGGTGGGTGTGATTTCGCCGAGGTAAATAACATCCTCTTCAGCGCAGACATTGAAATCTTTTTTATGGTAGCGATTCATTTAAAGATCGATATTTTATTTTGTTTTCATCCTCTGAACTTTCAGTGGCTTTCAAAAACAGTTAGTACTCTGATCAATTTATTAGACCAAGAATGAAAATATCCCTATGTGACTAGTCCAGATCTGACAATGAGTTATACCGTCAAAATAACAGAATATTCACCTCCTCAATTCTAAACTTTGACCCGCAAATGGCTTTAAACATTGGCCCGTAAAAAAACTATTTGTAACCGTGAACAATGAACATGTTACGTTCGTTACGGCTAGTAGAGACGAAGTACTGTTGCATGTTATCTGTAACGGCCTCAACACGTGTAACCGTTACAACCTGAACGAACATTTGTTGATTTTCAAGATGCCTACCCATGTTTAACAAATGTTTCGTAATGTAACCACGTAATCTTACGTTACGGCTAGTGAAGACGTAGTACTGCTGCATACTATCTGTGATCACTTCAACACACGTAACCGCTACAAGCTGAACCATCGTTTGTCTGTTTTTAAGGCGCGTATTTATAACAAATATCCAGTGACGTAACCGCGTACACGTTACGTTATGATTAGTGGAGGCGATGTACGTCAATACGCCAAACTGTTACAAGCTGCACCACTATTTACCGGTTTTTAAGACGCGTATCCATTCATAACAAAGGCCCCGTAACATAACCGCATGTTGTCTGTAACCATTTCAACTCACGTAATCATTACAAGCTGAACCACCATATGTCGGGTTTCATGGCGCGTATCTATTTGTAACAAAGTACACATGACGTAACGGCGTACACGTTACGTTACGGCTAGTGGAGGGGGAGTACTGTTCCATGTTATCTGTAACGCCTCACAGTTACAAGCTGCACCACCATTTATCGGCTTTCAAGATGTGTATCCATTTATAACAAATGTCCCTTAACACAATCGCGTTCACGTTACGTTACGGCTAGTGGTGACGGAGTACTGTTGCATGTTATCTGTAACCATTTCAACATGCGTAATCGTTACAAGCTGAATCACGATTTGTCGAGGTTTAGGGTGCGTAACTGTTAAATGAATCCGTTAACAAGCTATCGCTCCCCTACGAACGAATCCTCTCAAAAGTCAAAACTTATGCGAGCTAAGGACTTACGAGGTCCTAACTTTCAACGTGTGATTCCTAGCATCTATTTATAATAAATATCACACAACGTAACGCCGTACACGTTACGACCAGTGGAAAAATAATATTGCATATTATCTGTTCCCATATCAACACGCGTAACCGTTACAAACTGAACCAACATTTGTCGATTTTTAAGGCGCCTATCCATTTATAACAAATGTCCGTAACGTTACGGCTAGTGAAGACGGCTAGTGTGGTTGTCTTCCGAATTCAAACTTGATAACTAAGCTTTATACAAATTCTCTGCTCGTCCTTTTTCAAGTGTAAGCAATTCCAATGAAATCATTTCTTATATAAGAGAGGTGGTTCTTTTCTGACATGGTGTTACATGAAGTTCCGAGGCCATTTTTTCAAATGAATACAATCTAGAGCGATTCAAATATAACGCAAACCAACACTTTCACACAGGATTCTCTTACAGAACATATTTTTTGTTTTATAAACTTTACCAATGTGATTGGCGACTATTCAAAATTATAAATATGGCGGGTTATGGCCACTGTTTTCGAATAATCCATAGCGGCATTAAAGAACTCATGTCTTTCCCAATCAGTCATTTTAAAACTTATTTGACTTTAGTCAACCTTGTTGCGTTTTGATACATTCTTTTGAATTCAATTCAATTCAGGATCCCATCAGCAGATTTTCGTATTGAACTCTTCAACTGACGATATTACTATCAAATACATAGAATAATGAGATAATATATTGGCAAATATCGAACAAGTTTCTTGTAACAAGTCTCCATAGAATTACTAAAAAATCTTCAAATTTCTAACGAATCTATCACAAACGCTCAAAACTTGCACATACTGTACTTAGAATGTAAAAATTCACAGTTCAGACATTGTTTTCGATGAAGTTTGTATCTGAAAGGAGTTTCTGTTCATGATCTTCATAAATAGTTTTTTGTTGTAGTTCTTTTCTCTCTTTCTTCCTTTGGAAGTTCCCACATTTTTTGTTTATTCATGGAGAAGTAAGAAGCCACAGTATTTTATTCTGTGTCCAAATATATTGTCATACTCTCATGCGAAGCAGCTGTGGACTCCAGGCACTTTTGGTTTGACATTGTAGGTTTATCTCAATATGACAAGCGAATTCACTGAATTCAGTTGTTTCTCATGTCTACATGAATAGAGTGAGAAGCCACATTATTTTATTATGTGCCCAAATATATTGTCATACTCTCATGCGAAGCAGCTGTGGACTCCAGGCACTTTTGGTTTGACATTGTAGGTTTATCTCAATATGACAAGCGAATTCACTGAATTCAGTTGTTTCTCATGTCTACATGAATAGAGACATGTAGATTCAATATCGAAGGTTAAAATCGGGAATGTGTTTCGAACGCAACGTCGAAATTGAGTAACGGAACATACACTTTTCCGCCAGACAGACCTCATTCTCTTACTATTCGAAATTGTGATTTACAACGTACCTGGAGACAAGTTTGATTTATCGATATTTCAATAATTATACGAACGAACAAATAAAAACCCCACGCAGAACGCTAAAATGATTATGAAATGGATAAATAAACATTTGCTTTAAGGACTTCAAACGGCATTGTCGCTAGAAATATTCGTAACTTGATAACGCGTAATACAAAAACTGAAACGATTAATATGATAATGAGGTAGCGAAATGCTCGCATATGAATTAAAATTACTTACATTTATTCTGGCCGTGAACCTGTTTTGCTTAAAATCCGGAACTGAGCCATTGAAAATAAAACATGTCGGCATAGCTCGTTTCTCGAGAGAAGAAAGTTTCTTGGCTGCTTGTATCAACTATCATTGTCGAGAAGGGGACAAAAAATCCAATGAAAGCTTCAGTTGTTTTTTAACCGGTAATGCGAGCAAATCAGTTTTGAAATGAAATGTCTTGAACTTTCTTTCGTTATTACTTTTTTAGAAAGTTCCGCAGCAGTACAACAGCAAATTTCGAAATCTATATTATGACCGAAATCCATAAACAAAATTGTCCCAAATGCACTTTAGATAGCATATCGCATACCTAAGGGTATGGTCTAAAACTAACCAAAAACTTGGTCTCCCGTTCAAAAGTAACCACTCATTGATAAAGACGCGTCGATTACACTTTTGAAAGGATTTTTTTTCAAAAGAAACATACATGAGATCAAATAGTGCGAAAATCTATTGGGATCAGTATCGCTGAGAGCTAGGTCAGTGCAGCCTCCAGAACCAGCCCCAAAGTTATGCAACAGGTATTGCATAATAGGGAAGGGGGTTGTTATATGTCACCGACTTTAGGGTACCCCCCTAACACGAAATAAACGTCATATTTGTGTTATCAATTCTCTCGTCACCATTATCTCCTACTTCAGAAGCTTCTGTAGTACTCAACCATAGTCAATTATATCCCCTTATCAAGTGATGCGACCCCATGGTTGTCAACTGCGGTAAAATAATGACATTTGCTAATAAATAAATAACCTCTTACTTACCGAGTTCCTTCTGCATTTTCATTTTTGATAAATGAGAAATCGATTTCCAGAATATGGCCGAAAAGAGATTTCTGGTCGTCCCATATAGTTGGGGCTCCAGAATGAAGAATCAGCTATGAAGAAGTATAAGATGGTCTGCCCCAATTATGTCCCAAAAATGAAAATGCAGAAGGAACTCAGAAAGATAGGTTATTTATTCATTAGCAGATGTCAAATGTCATTATTTTACCGCAGTTGGCAACCAGGGTCGCAACCAAAAATCAAAAAAATATATATATCAAAATCAATCAGTGAAACGTAATGAAAACGTATTCATAAAATACACTTTAAAGTGATATATCCACTTGGAAGTATTGAAAACAATCAAGTGGCCAATTTCACCACATAAATAACGTAACAATTATTATTGCCAGAAAATATTTCTCAATGGTTTCCGACTTGAAACAACGCCTTGAGAATCTCCATTTTGACTTTTTAGTGACGTCATGAAGAGATTTGTTTTTAAATGGCTCAATATTTCATTATTATCAAAATTTGCCAATTCAAATGAAAAAGTCAGTTCGGATAGGAGTTCTTCAGGAGGCTTAATAGGTGCCCTCTGGAAAATAATGCTGCCCATTCTAGGGAAAGCAATGAGAAAGCTGAGAAACTGCCTGGCTTTTGGCAATTGTAACTCAATCTTGAAAGTTCTTATAGTAGGATACACAGGGTTTATGAAATAAAACACGGCCAGTTTCTATAATTATTTATTGATAATCTGGCAAAATCATATTCGAACAAAATTTCAAAAAATCGATTAAGCACCAATAGAAAACGTTATTCTCTTGATCTGGTCGGAGAGCTTCTCCATAGCTACATATTTATCGTCGCACGCTTTAGGTCTTGTAACCAAGATCTGTTTGATTTGGTCAATCCTGCCTTCTATGCATCCGTCCAGGATACAAGATACTAACAAAGATTCCACTTCTTCCACGCTAATCCCCAGTTCTTTGCTGATGAAGGACAATTTGATGTTTTTATAAGGCTTCACTAAAATAAGAAGTACCTTGGTTCTCACATGCTTCAGCAAATCTGCTATGTGCTCATGGATGAATGGGTCGCCCATCAGCGATTCTTTGTTTTCCTGGAAGAATTGATACAGGTTTGGAAATATTGAAGACATATTTACCAAAAAACAAAATCTTATATCATAATTCAGAATAGTTCCTTCCCTTCAAGGTTGTTCCAACTTTCAATATTAGAGAAAGTTCAAGAAACATTTTTTTTTTGTAGCGCGTTCATTACTCACTTGGAAAATCCTCTCGAAATCCTTCATGTCATTATTCTGGAATGCCAAAATCAGATCTGTCATCGCCTTTATCTCTGGCTCGTTTTTGTAAGGCTTGGCTTCTTGTGAATCAAACGGGTTGATAGCAGATTTGAGCAACATACTAGTAAGAATAAGATATTTCAGACAATTCACTCGCCGTGGATTTCCTGCTTCGTCGTAGTTCTTGAACGCCTCGAAAAAGTCGGTGTAAGCCTAGAACACAAAAAAATCGGTGTAACATAATATTAATGCAAATAGTGAAAGGACAGAATAACCTTTTCGTAGTCTCCAGACCTCAGATGCATCTTTCCTCCACATTCTCTTATAACACTCATAATCAATGGATGAGGAATTGCGGAACGCACTTTTAGACTTCGTTCATATAGCTCCTTGAGTTGCTTGTGGTTCTTCTGTTCCGTATACATTTGAATTTCGAGCGCATAAATTTCCAAGAGTTGAGTTCCTGTTGAAAAGTTCAAGAATAAAGTATGTGAACAATGTCAAGAGTACAGCGAATATTGAAAAAAAAAGACTCATAATTTCGTTATTTTTTCATTCATACCTTTGTGGGGATCAATTTCATGGGCATTCGGATTGCAAGTTTGCCATAACTGTCTTATAATATTCGCGACCTTGGTGAATTCCCCTCTCTCCAGATAGACCTTTCCCAGTTTCGTGTTTGTTTTAAACCATAACCTGTCATTTTTAGCGTTCTTCAGGGCAGATAGAGTGGTTTCATAAAAGTTCTGCAATAGTTCTATATCCTTGGAAGTGGATGTGTAGTCCAAGATAGAGTTGATTGATTTTTCTCCATGATTTTTCGTTACAGCATTGTTGATGTATCCTGTTAACAAGAGCCATATGTATAATTTTAGGTATTGGGAGTTCACTTATTTCTAACTCTTTATCTAGAGAAGGCAAAAATATTTGATTCTTGATATCTGCTTGAGATGGATGTCGAGTTTACGACTCCAACTGACCTCACTGTAAAGACGACTGAGTCGTCTACTCAAGAGCGGAGTACCTTATAAAACCGTCTTGTACCAAATTCTTGAGCGGCGTACGCAGAATCTGTCTCAGGTGGGGGAACAAACCCCTCATGAGAAGGCTCAAGTGATGATTCACCAAAACCAGAGGCGAAAAAGCCCTGCCCTGCAGGCATCGTCAGGTGTAGCTGATGTGCAAAAACCCTCATATGGGTAGGTTGTCGTGGGTATCAAGGTGGGAATCTTGCAACTCGACTATCCAACTACCTCATTAACGGAGCATATACTTTGTGTCTGCCCCGCTGGGGACCGAATCAGGTCTTTAGAGTTCGGCAGAGCCGTACTCTTAACATCTGACCTGAAAGACCACTCACCATACAAACTAATCGGCATCTAAAGAAGCTGGGTTTGTTTGGCCGAGTGTGAATAGGCGTGAGCCAAAATAAACCCTTGCGGGTTGCGGTGGAGGGTTGAATAGACCCACCAACTTTGGACCTGACCTAACCTAATACGAATTTCATTTCAGCAGCACAATATCACACGATATAATGAAAAAAAATACATATATGTGTTATTACAAACTTTCATGAAATAATCACTATAATAAAAATATTATTGTTGAATTTTATCGGTAATTTCTATAGAAAAAAATCTAAACTTTGTTCCTTTCAAGGAACTATAGATAATTCCAGAGTCCAAAACTATTGAATCCGGTTCCGAGCTATTTGACCCTCGTCAATGCAAGGTAGTATCCTACATCACATTTTCTAACACTTCACTTCAACTGCTCTAAAACTTTTTAAAATAGTGTACCTACTTAACTTTTTAGATATTAATTCTATTGAACATTCAGTGGCTATATTTTTCCTAATAAAGGAGGCATAAAAAAGTCATTGAATTCCGTCATTTTTTTCTAACAAAGGCAATTGATATTAAACATAAATCGGTACTTATGACTAGCGCTGCCAACATCGATATTTACGATGATTTTCTGAGCTTGATAATATTGGGAATCTCTACTCTACTCGAATTCTGAAATTTTGATTTTGAAACTTTTGAGTTTGTATCATCTTCTGCTCTTTCAACAAATTACGAAAATTATATATTGGAAGATATTTTAACCGATTAAACTTGATGGTCTCGCAATATGAGCCTTGATTAAGCTGAATTCACACGTCAAGGGGCTGTAATTTTACTAAAATAAGCAGTGGTTAAAATAACTAATCCTCAAATAATTTTACAAATAATTAATCTGAAACATCTTCAGATGAGTTTCAGGAATATTTAATAAAATTTCTCATTCAAAAATTAACCAAAGTCTTCAATTTCTTGTATAATTTCCAAAAAGATGTTTCAAGATAAGATACTTAATATTCCACAATACTGAAAATTATACAATGATACATTTTTTGGCCAAATAAAGTGCAACATTCACCAGAAAGTCCCAAACAAGAATTAATAAGTTGCTGTTTCCTTCAATTTGAAATACAATTTTGATATTATTACACTATCCTTTGATTCTTCATCAATGAGAAAATACAAATCACCAAAAACTCAGTCATGCCAAACTGGAATGAATATGCTCCTCTCTATCCTACAAGTTCATGATGGGTGCCAAACAGAGCAGCTGATTTTGTATTTTGTCTGCAAACCCAACGTTAGCAGATATAATCGAAAAGTTATGTTGTGATATGACTGTTGAAATTTTTGGTTTCATCAGTGTTTAATAAAAATTACTGGAGTACTTTTTACTTCAGTTTCGTTGCAATATACTACACTTCTACAACAATACCTACATAACTACTATGCTGTAATTTTTGTAAGCTGTAAGCTATTGTTTTCAAATAAACATAAACATGAAAAAATCTCACCTAGTAATTCTTTATACTTTTTCATAGTTTCTCCATAGTTCTTCAGCTGAAAATTAATCTTCACCAACTGCTTGAGGGCCTTGAAACCCCACTCACCCTTGTGTTCGCCCTGTATATCTAAAACTTTCTGAAAAGCCGTCACCGAACTCTCCAAATTATCTTCTTTGAGCGTCTTGGCGAGGTAATACTGGTTCTCTAGGTCAACATCGGGCTCTGACGTGCTTTCTTCCGAATATTCTAAACCATAATCGCCATATTCTTCCTCTTCGTAGTAAAAATCGTCATCCATTGTTGTGCACGACGAAAAACAACTGTTACTTCGGGTTTTTGTTTGATTTACAATGAACAATCTTTGTTTTTATTGGGACTGAGAAACTCGCAGATATGTTGTTGACGTTTTGCGGCACTGCACTACGTTTAGGTTATGATGACAATGGAATTGAACATCGACCGGTTGCCGGATCGTGCGCTGCCGACTGGCTTCGTTCAATAGACTGCTTTGTAGGAGTGAGTGGGGAAATTTATTTCTCGCTATTCGTTTTGTGAGAGAATTTATTTTCCACTGAAGTGCTTAGCTTGAAGACTGAATCTAAAAGGTTTTCTATTTTCTCATAATAAATATTCTTTTTCGGCTCTCATTAGTTTTTGTAAAAAATTTAATTAGACTTGCTTATTATTGTCCGCGGCAAAAGAATCAAAACTAGGCGACCCGGTATGCTACGATCCAAAAATTGAAAAATCGAGTTTTTCAGAAATTCACTTCCGGCAATGGAAACTTGTAAAATCACACCTTCTTTCACGATCGCCAACATTTATTCACTTGCCACAATTTTTTTTCATAAAACGTTTAATTTCCTAAGACTATTTATAATCACAATTTATGAAACGGAATGACGCTTTACAAAAACGTTTTCGTTGGTTCCATTGGCAGAGTAACAAATTTGAACTAGGAATGAATGCGCTGTTGTCAAATTTATATGGCTATCGAGAAAATAAGGAAAACTACCTTGGTTTTTGTCATTCACGTGTTGTTTGTGTATTGATTCATTTAAAACGTATACTTTCTACTTTTTCTAGGACAAAGTAAAAAACTGGGTGGAATTTTCGAAACGTTTCCATTCAAGAAACGTTTAATTGTCAATTTTATTTGAGTTAGCCTCCATTTTAACTATTCACTGTGTTTCCATGTTTTTGAACTTTACGAGTGTTCGCATATCCTTCAGATTTGATAAGCTATCAAGGATAACATTAATTTTCATGCTGGCTTCATATTCATAACCTCAATGTTCAGTTTCTGGAGAAGAGCCAGTAAAGTCTCGAAAGCTTGAACCGAAAAAAGAGTTCTCATTTTTCTATGGTACTTGAAAAACTAAAAAGGAGAAAGCTAGGCAATGATTATTGCCAAGTTCATTCCACATATTGGCGAATCCTTGATATTCATTCTCATCAAATGTTTTGCATTAATTGAATAACTATCAATAGTAAATGTAAGAAAGAACCAGGAGCGGATCTAGGAATTTATTGAGATGGGGAAGCGCAGTTGAGATACATTTTCCGCTATAAATAAATAAAATTGAGATGTTTAGTGAATATGATATTACTAGCGATTCGCCCCGGCTCCGCATGGGTGCAATGATGATACTGAATATACTTCATAAATATACCACCCACTATTTATAGGCACGCGCCGCCGGCCGGTACCGCCGCAACCGCTATGTCCCTTCATTTTGAATCTGTAATATTTTCGAAAATATTCATTTGATGACATATTGTAAAGGGCTATATTGATCTATATTAAATGCACAATACTTAATTAGATAAGGATTAATGCTGTATTGCTCAAAATCGCTTTGTGAATAAGGTCATGAAAAGTAAAAGATAAAAAATGGTTATTGTGGCTCATCCTTCAGAGATAGACATATACCATCGCGAACTTTTTTGTGTGCACAATACTATAGTATATTTTTTATCTATCTCGAAGGGTTTAGCTAGCCTTTGCAATGTAAGCGCAAAAATGTGTTTATTTACGACATTACTTTAGAAACCTAACTAATTATCAGTGTTTCTCTACTATATTATGCATTTTATATACATAAGAACTTTCCTTTTGAATCAATAGGTATATCTATTAAATAAACCGTATCCAAATCCGTTGCGGATTTTTAGAGATGTAAGCATACATAAGGACAGACAACGAGAAGCGACATTATATTATTTTATACTATGTAGTGATTTTGAATTGGTGATAGTTTTTTTATTAAAATAAGTAAAGAGGACTCATGCAGGCATCCAGTGACGGCTCGTGCATTAGAAAACAAGGGAGGCTTAAGTCATATAGACTAAATACACACAGAAAAGCCCGCCGGAGGCGCGAAAATTTTTTGTTGCACGCTTTGCTTAATACTAAAGTTAGGGCAAGGACATGACAATGCGTAAAAAGTGCATGAGGAGCTATGGACTTTATTTTAGTTTGTAAACCATTTGGTCGGTCGGTAGCCAAGCGGTTCGGCGTGGGTGCTTTGTTCACTCACTCGAATTGACTGCCGTGTTGGTCGGTGGTTCAAGCCCTAGTCTGAACGATCGATCTTCATTTGCTATCGTCCAACCCGTGTTAGGAATCACACGTTAAAAGGCAAGACCTCGTTAATCCTTAGCTCGCACAAGTTTTGACTTCTGAGGGTTGTCGGTCGTAGGGATGCGACAGATGGTTAACGGGAAAAACAGATTTTCAACAGATTTAAATGGCTGGCCATGACCGCAGCCCCATCATAGGTTTGCGCGATTAACTTTTGCCTAAAATTATAGGTGTCACACGTACGAATTAAAAAATTGAACAAATTGTCAGCTGTGCGCCCAGATGAAACATCACGAAAACCCATAAAACGTTCTACCACTTTACCATCTTTGATATATCTAAAAACGATTGAAAGTTGTGATGTACAGGTAATATCGGTAGTTTCATTAATTTCCCATGCAAAAAAAGAAACAATTTCAATCCCTTTGCTTATATTTTCCTTAATAATATATGCCACACTGTCTATAATAAGCTCATTTTGGATGGTTTTTGAGGTGCCCGAAAAAACGCTACCGTTTAAAAAAGTGCCAAATTGTGAATCATATTTGCCCCATAACACGAGGTAAATTTTTTAAAAATCGTAGTATCCAATTTTAGACCACGTTTGCTATTCGGTTTGTACGGAGTTTGCAGAGAGAGATTTACCGGAATATTTTTCAGTCCCGGTCCGTAACGGTATCCTGTCCGAATAATTAAATAAAAAACAAACGCAGTCGTACACTAACGGAAACCAACTGGAGGCAAGCCTCCTCTGAAGCTATAATTTCTGCAACTGAAATTACAAATCGAGACGTATATCGCTGGTTGGATCGGCCTCGTGGAGCCTGGTTTTTTAAAGCGGTCGGAGGCTTGGCTCCTTTGCAACGTATGACATTTATTATTTCGGGTTGATAGTTTATTCGTAATTCGTTCATGGGCGGTGCGTTTGAGTTTTGTTGATGCAGGATACAGTGTGGTATATACATACTACGTAGTGAGTCCGGGCATATTATGTATTTGTATTAAAAATTAATGGTAAAGTAATGATACCCAAGCATTTTTAGAAAAAAATAATCATAATTATTTGTCAATATCTTTCAATTTATTGCGATGAATAGCCTCAAATTTTATGGGGAGGCTAAGCCTTCCTTGCCTCCTGACGAGCCTCCGCAGCAGGCATCTGGTTATAGGTTGCGGTTTGTTAATGGACAGGAGTGTAGGATCATATTAGGCCCTACAATCAAACATTTTTTGCGTCCAAAGGGGTGGCGTTCCCCTGCACCCTCTGGGTGGATCCGCCACTAAGGGGTGGCGCTCCCCGCGGTTCCTGGGTGGATCCGCCACTGGAAATAACTATGGCATCTATGGATAAATGAAACTCACAAGGATGGCTGAACAAATATGTAACAATGATTTGATCAGGTATTTGTTGAGTCCATTTTTTTGTGTAACGTGTAACCAGTAATTCTCTTCCTTTTATTTATATTCCATGAGGGGTGGCGCTCACCATGCCCCCTGGATGAAGCCGCCACTAAGGGGTGGCTCTCCCACTCCCCTGGGTGGATCCGCCACTAAGGAGTGGCACTTCCCGCGCCCCCTTGATGGATGGACAGGATATAACTATTCCATCTATGGATGAATAAAACTCAGAAGAACGGCTGAACAAATATGTAACAATGACAAGATCAGGCGGACCGAGTATAAAATATTACAGTTCATGGGTGAAAGCAATTGGTTGAAGGTGGATTCTTTGAAAAATAATAGAAAAAGTATCTTTTCTGCTTCATACAAT